ACATAATATATATAAATATATCGATACAAATTGATTGCTACTGATTGCCTAACTCATGTCAGTTATGTTAAACCAATGGGAATATATCAACTTCATATTAGTCATAACTTCTAAATTTAAGACATGTGAAAAAAGTATGTCTACATCTTAGTAAATATTTTCAGTATTTAGACTAAACTAGAGCAGTTAGCATCACTGCTAAGATTTGCAGAACAAATGTTATTTTATTTTAATAATTTTTTTTCATAATTTTAAAATAATAAAAATTTGTAAAAATTTTATTTTAAAAAATGTGTTCAAATAATAAACAATTTGTCGGAATTTTATTTTAAGAAAATGTATTCAAATAATAATATAAAATTTGGAACTGCTTAACTGGAACTGCTCTATTCTATGCCTTATTATTCTTAGTGTCAGTCTTACAATGCAAACTCAAGCCAAGTTGTATTCGACGTTTTGGAATATATCTTAAAATTTAAAGAAAAAAGTCACTTCAGTATCAAATCGTCACTTAAGTGTGCTGATTTGCTCTTACTTTACCTTGTTTAGAACTAATGGGTCATGGAAATTAATTGTCTCTACTTAAAATCATATTCCACATTTTTTTTACTCTTAATTTGTTTTTGTAGATATATTTTAGTTAAAAGGTTTTGAAAAAAAATATATGGAATATCCTTCTAGTCATGCATATCTATTTATTTGAACAATGGATATATACTGCTATGTCTAGATTATTTTACTTTCACAAATATGCAGCAATATGTGCCATTTTTAATGGAAAAATCATACTTAATCCATACAAAAATATGCTAAAGAAGTTCGATAAGTTTAAAAACAAACATAGTGTAACAGCTTTAGCTATATACAAATTTGATTTAACATTGCTTTGAGTTCCTTAATTGTTTTTATTCTCTTTTTTATAAGAGTGATTGACTCAGTAAAAAATATATCAAAAACAGAGCTCTAAAATTAATCACTAAAGTTGATACGCTACTTAACCCCGCCCTAACAATCCTCAAGTCCACTTCTGGACTCAGGAAGATATGCTAATTTAAGGTTCGTCATCAACTAAAAGACAAATAAATGATATGATTTCTTAGCCTAGTTAAACCCTAGTGTGGGGTAGAGATAAGCCCCCCAGCCATTATAGAGTAAAAGTGCGTAATAGCACTAACTCAAGAAGAAGAATCAAGAATCAAGAAGAAGAGTGATAAGAATGTGATTAATAAGTCATACATTAAAAGTCTACTGGTAAAAGAGTTAAAAATTGATTCAGAGTAAAATTTGGTGTTTATCTCTTTCTTATTTTTATAAATATTGTAAATAAATACATCAGATATGTTATTATATTTTAACATATATTATATTATCGTTAAATCAAAAATTTCAAACTAATACAATTGCACACTGTACTAAGTGGTGAAGAATAAAGTTATCTAGTTATATATTCAAGCTTTGGATCCTGAACTCAGTATAAGTGTTGTTCTTTTTTCGTATTTTAACAATTAAAGATAAAAATATATTTAATTGATTCAATTATTCTACAACTGGTTTATGATTTCATTCTAATATAAACACAGCAAGTAAATTTGTTAATAAAAAACTTTCGCAGCAAATCAACAAAACTCCACAAAAATTTGCGAACATAAACGTCAAGTACGACTTTTGGACAGTTGTTTCAGCTGCGCTGACTCTGAGTTTCAAAATTGGCAGAGTATAAGTTTGATTCCTGATACTTGCAGTCTCAAAAAAATTATTTACGAATAATTAAATACTACAGTTATTTTCAAGACCACTGATGATGGGTATTTGGCAATACTCGAAACAGCTGTATGGTCAACCAAAAATGCAATTATTTTAAAATAATATAAAAAGAATTGTTGTTGTTATAGCTCATTACTGTTCGAAACTTTTTTATTAAATTAATACAGTTTCTGTTAAAGTAAAAATAGTCATTTCTGTCATATTGACGTGATAATGAAATTTAACTTAAGTATTTATGTCATAATATGTCTTTGAAATTTACATTTCATAAAAATAGTTTAAGAAAAATGGAAATAAATCAAAAGTTAAGATTTACTTATGAGTGTTTTTATACAATAGATAAATATCGTTGAATTTTTCAAATGGGTTTCCGTGTATTTGTGAAAGAATTATAATATTAATTCAATTGCTGTTCTGATTCATTTAATAATTTTCTGCCCTAAATTTGCAACAACCCTCTCTTACTGATATTTAAAAAAAAAAAAAACCCAAACAATATTAGAAAAAAATTTTAAAAGCAGACAATCCTGTTAGAGGATACAACTTTTATTCAAATTTGATCAAATGCATGACTGGATGATTTTTCTGTTGTGGAATGTATCTGAATTGTGTAACTTTCGGTTTGTATTTTTCGGGACATCATAACACAATGCCTATTTCCACTCGTAGTTGAACATCCCCTCGGATGCAACACTTTGACTTGTGCTGAAAACACGATTGAGCATGGATTTTTATGATGTGTGCTGAAAAGGAATATGACGGATCAAATCAGCACACACGCATCACGGCGTGATCATCCTAAATTGTTTGAAATAGTTTTTATGGGTTTTGGATAATTAAGAAAACACGTTTTGCTCATTTTAAGCCTTGGTTGCCAATCGGCGTATAAGTTTATTATATTATATATTTTGAAAATTATTTCATTTGATAAAAAACATATTGAGTATTTTTACTTTATTTAGAAAAACTGTACACAAGCTAAGAGACGAAAAGGTATTATAGCTACCTTTAAGCTACAATTAAGCACATGTCATGTTGGACAAAGTTTGAATATAATTGCAAGTGCCTTGAAGTGACGTAGCTGTCGATCGCACAGTTGCCCCAATTGTCAATCAACGAAGAGCCCGCATGGCGGATGTGCGTTTTCTGCATGAGTTGGCTAATTCCTCATTTTTTTTGTGATCATTCGAATGTCAGTCTATCAGTTGCATGTTCCGTCGTCTCCCTGTACACTGACTAAGTGGACCGTCTCATGTTTCGTTTTTAGTTAAATCAGACATTTTTCGTTCGACTTCTGCACGTCTGCCTATTTGTAACACGTTACTTAGTTATGAGAAATTTCGCGATTGTCTTTTAATGATCGCTTTATGCTAAGTTTTTGTATCTTGCGGTGAGCGCAAAGAGGCAATCGTAGAAAATTTGACCTCTTCCTGTCATTTCTGACATTGCCTGATATGATGTGAGGAGCAGTGTTGCATTTTGACAAAAAAATTATGTTATATACGTATCTTCTCTTCATTTGAGAGGTGTAAAGTGTGTGGTAGGGTACAGCGTCCTCTTATGTCATGTTTTTATCAATAATTTTTGCGTAAAGAATTGAACACGAATCTCAAGTCGCAAGCGTTTGCATACCACCAGTAAGTTCGGTGGCTTCAAACCATATCGACTCACAGTAAGTAAATAGCCACAAATGCAGCATTAATAAGAACAGCAAGCAACAACAACAACAACAACAATAACAACAGCAACAACAGCAATAGCCAAGTAAGCAATTTGATCCTCAGTCAGAATGTCATGCCATCCATGCCATCCATGCCATGTTTAGCCACGCAATGCAGTTCAATGCGATTGTTGTGATGCGATGGAAGCATTGTCAGTCGCGCAATCATCATAATAATTCACTTCAACCGATGGCTACGAGAAGTCCAACGGAAATTAACAACACGCGATATTTAATTTTTTCGCATCAAGCAATTTGCGGTGTAGTGCTGCCGATTTTTCTCCACGCTATTCCTGTTGCTATTGTTAACTCTGTTTTTAGTTCGAGTACGAACGAGTACTTCAGTTGTCGCTCGTATTGTTGCACTTCTGCTAATTTAAGAGTAACCAAAAACAATAAAACAACAAACCAAAAAATCCTCATCAACTTGAGACATTAATTTCCACATTGAACTCAATCGCAAAATGCTCTACCGTGACTTCTGTAGCGTGTCAGCGATTCACATATTAGGTTTCTTACACTGCGAGGCGATTTTTGCGGTTAGGAAGCAAGTGAACTATATCGGTCGTTACTATATCAAATTCAGATATAACGACAGAGAGAGAGCAACAATAGAGGAAGACATGTAATCTTATAGCCGCGGGTTCGTTAAAAATATGCAGCGCGTATTTCGTTTGCAAGAATTTTCAAAACCGCAAAAGTTGACTGATATATATAAAAATATAAGAAACATCCGTATTGGATGAGCAGAAAGGATGCAGTCAATAACAAACAATTTTTTATGACAAAGTGCAGGCTAAGCGTCTTACATACTTAAAGAATCTTAACATTTATTGAATTGAATATCAGAGCAATTGGAATAAATAAAATGTGGGCAGTTTTACTTATTCACAGATACTTTGACTACAGTAAATAATTTTGTTTGGTTAATAATTGAATATTTTGACTTGTTTTTCATACTGTTTTTTACTGGTCCAGGATGTTTTTCTTTGTAATCCAAAAGACATAAGACATAACTATGAAGAACTTGTTAAACCGATATTTGTATAACATTATACCCCAGTCTGTCAGTTTCAAATCAATTTAATCCCTTAGTTTTTATTCTGGAGAGTTGTTCTTTTGGAATATTTATTCTAACATAGAATAACAGAAAGATTATGAGGCAATGTGCAAATATAAAGTTTATTACTATTTGACTCTTCTCTGGAGAACTTAATAACTTAATAACGAGCAAACCATATTGAAACGTTTATGGTAGGCAAAGTTGGGTGCTGAGACCACACAGCTAGCTGATTTGATAGATCCACAGTGATATAAGTTACGAATGCGTAATGACAGTTAATGATGTTACAAGTTACTTAAAATATGTGTATCATTAGAGAGTATTAAGAAATAGTTACTCCGATATCAGGAATGTAGTTCCCACCATTAAAACTTATAGCTCTAAAAATAAATTTTAAAGATAGACGAGTTGTTGTGAGAACCTACCAGCGATATCAGATTAGATATATTTAGATAATCTAGATAATTAAGGATCTGCAAGTTACTTAAAATATGTGTATCATTAGACAGTTCTAAGAGATAGACACTCTAATATCAAAGGTGAACAACAAAAAAATAAAGAAACAAATAAAAGACAAAAACATCATCACGGATAAAACTGGTGCTGAAGCAGACGTTTCGGCTCGGCTAAGTAAAGCCAAGTACGTATTCGGACAGTTAAACAATGTGTGTAATTCTAACCAAATATAATAAGTACTACCCTTCCAATATTTAAGCTTCACAGGTCAAGTCAATGTTGTTCCACGGATGTGAAACATGGAAAAAAACGACCTCCAAGTATTCATAAACAAATGCTTAAGAAGAATACCAAAAATATGGCGGCCGGAGCACATACTCAATATCGTTCCAAATGGGAGTGCAAGCAACAAGTACAAGCTACCACTGAAATCAAAAGAAAAAAATGGAAGTGGATTGGCCACAAACTTAGGAAACCAGCATCTTGTAAAACAAAGCAAGCCCAAAGACGAGGTTTTCTGGCTATTATTTTGTTTTAGTGCATCTTTGATTATTGATGTTCTGAGTGTGTAATACCAACCTATAAAGTAATTGAATAAAATATCTAAAATATTATATATATTATATATAGTTTTTTCTTAAATATCTTTGATTAATATAGTAAGTTAAAACGTTTAGTTACTAGTATCTATGCATAATTTGAATGATATACCTGTGTAAATATAGTATGTACAGTTAAAATTGTTTTTTATAAGATTGTCATACTCGTATTTCTATGTAATTTAAATTCAAAGCCGTTTTTTACTATTAATTTAATTTTAATTTTTTTAACATCCTAACACACACATTATTTTCTTATTGTCGCCGTGAAATTCGAGACCTAATTTGTGTAGCGGTAGTCAAGAGTAATGTCAAGATTTCGCGGCAATTTATCCAGTTGTTGGTGTCAGTTGGTTGGCTACTGTTATTTATTTTTTTCGAAGTCTGCACATTTCACAAGTGGAAAAAAACGAAACCTGGAACCTCACCTGAAGCGATTATAAATACTTGAAGGCCACGTTAGGTGTAACCTAATACTTTAAATCAGTTAATATCCGCTTCAATTAACGCGTCTTTACATACAAACTTATGTTTATACTCGAATATCGAAGGAGGAATTTTAGAGCTAAATAATGGTAGGTGGTGAAAGAATTTAATATACTCATAAGCATATAAATTTATTTATACTTAACAGTAAATTATTTAAGAGAATATATTTAAAATCGCTGTTAAATAAATTAAATTCTAATTTTTAGGATTCTTATAATAAAAAATAATTAATTATGTATTTTGTATTAAGAAAATCTATACATTCTCCAAAATTTTCATTTGCTATTTCATTTCTATGGTGTATTAATTAATTTTTAAAGGCAATAAAAATATTTGAAAGTGTTTATTTAATTATTACATTAAATTATTAATTGATATTTTATGCAACGGTTGTTTATGTTCCAGAAAAAATTGTAGGCAGTCAAGATTTCACCTGTAAGGATTAATTCAATTTTACATATTTATATTAAATGATATGGGTCAAGAAGTGTGAGCTGCCAATGAGATAACATTGAATAAAAGATTATATTAATATATATAATATAATAAAAATATATGGAAAATATCAAAATAAAAAACAACTAATAATTTCTAAGAACATTTACATATGCCTTTAAGAACATAAGTAATATGTAATATTGAAAAAGTGAATTGGAGACTCTGCTAATTACAGATATGTTATTATTCAGAAATATTAGTTAAGGAGAAGGATGTATTGTCCACAATTTTAGAAAGAGTAAAATTAACTAATTTAGTGCTCTTTTGAACTTTAAATATATAAGAACTAACATTTTTTCAATATAAAACTAAACTAAATATTAAAAAAAAAATTGGTTCTGTGTTTCTTATCTGAGAAAAAAAAATGTTTCATTCATACTTTAGATTCAAGCCAAAAAATGTCTTACGTACCACTAATTTACTTCTAGGTTTGGTTATTGCAAGTTACATTTACTTCTTCACTTTAGTTCTATACAATTAAATTGGAGACCTTTCCAAATTTCTTTAGATTTGCGTTGATTTTTAAAATTTATTTGTTGCAGAAGGATCTATATCACTACTTCGTGTTTTATATGAGTGTGCCACACATGACAATTCACGTATATATAATACTATATTATAATAATCCATATATAATAATATTACTATAATAATAATAACTTAATATATATGTATACATAATTAAATAATAATAACCATTTCATTTAATAATGTGATGTGATAATATAATATGATATAATAATATAATAATAATACTATAATTAGATTAAAATCTATATATATAAAAGAAAGATGTGTTTTTGTTACACCACTTATAACTCAAGAACGGCTGAACCGATTTAGCTGAAAATTGGCAGGGAGGTAGTTTAAGGCCAGGAGAAGGATATAGGCTGAACCGATTTAGCTGAAAATTGGCAGGGAGGTAGTTTAAGGCCAGGAGAAGGACATAGGATACCTGTTTATCCCGTTCACGACAAAGTAGGTTTTGAAATTATCAAATTTTTGATAGAAAATATTTTATCGGAATTTTCGAATAGCAAAGAAAGAAATAAAGTACAAACACAAAAATTTATTTTTAATTTTATTGAAGTTCGGCTGACCATACAACGCTGTTTCGAGTATTGCCAAGTACTCTTCATCAGTGGTCTTTGGACTAATCGAATTTTTATTTAATTAGTTTATAGTCCGTATATAATTTGTTTAGACTGCAAATGCCAGGCTTAGAACTCGTGCCTGTCAAATTAGAAGCGATGACTAATCGTGTTATCCACAAGAAGTCAAGGCTGCACAAACTTTCAATGCTCAAGTTCCAGGTTTTATTGTCACTTATTTTTATTTAATTAGTGACAACAACCAAAGCACTTGCCGTGCTTTAAATTAGAACGAGCTTAAAAACTACAGCTTTATTTTGGAAACACAAGTTCAACGAATTGAAAGTTTAACTTTTTGGGTTTGCTAATTCTTTATTTCTTTTCAAAGCTACTCTTTTTGTAGAGACATTTTGTAATGCATATTTTTTACTTACTATATGTAAAGCGACCATTCTGGTGCTTTTACAAAGAAGCTATGCTATGTTATTCTAAAAATTCCTCTAAAATTTAATAAAGCTTCTTTGTCCCTATACAAAGTAAGTCTAGCTTAACAGCAATACTAATACTTTATTAAAATATTTTATTAAAATTTAACAGATAGAAATATAACTTAGTTAATGTGTTTTTAAAAGTTGTATTAGATCAATATAAGTTTGTGTTGCAATAAATATCGTTTTTAATCAATAAAACTACCTGGTTGTTGCAAACTCAACAAAATAAATAATTAACAATTATAATGTATGGTATGGTTGAACATTTGAGTTTTTAGTTTTTTAATAATGCCACGACCAAGACGATCGAATCTTTCCCGACAAAGCCGTAATGCAAGAAGAATACGAAATACTGCAAATTTAAGGACTGAAGGTCGAGCGAACAACAGAGGTCAACAAATAGA